TTAAAAGTAATGAAACAAAATAACACATTACAATTATATGGGTACTGCACCTAAGACGATGCCGTTATGTTTAGTTTGCAAAACTAATTAGTTCTAAGTTAAAATAAGATCTCTATCACAATAAAATTCTAGATTTTTTCAGTTGATATTCTGAAAGTTCGAAACTGCAAAAGCCAAGATTCTTATTCTTACGAAAAGGTAATTGCTGTATTTTAAAGTGAAGGTATGCCGTTGAATCAATTTGTACTAAAATCACCATAAAATACAGCAGAAAATATATAAACATCTGACAATCAAGTGTTTTAAATGTTATAATACAAAAGATGTTTAGAGAGTTTAGGTTATTAAAATCTAGAGATAGTGTAATTGAATTTTGTAACAATTCCTTTAATTTGAAGTACCTTGGAAATCAAGGACTGCTGAGGGTAGTCCATTTTTATTTATTTTTTGGTCATTTTTTGTTTTTCAGCTATTATTAGGCATTTGATTTAGCGTATTATTTGTCGGTAATGGACAATATTTGCTGTTAGACAATAATGATTCCATATATCATTAACATCATCATCATGTATACCCAAGTATCAGACGATATGTTTTTTTAGAATAATAAGAATTTGATATCAGTGGTATAGTAATATCCCACTTCTAAAACAATATAAATTTCCTAGCTTTAATAGTGTGCAATTGGCTAATTGTGACTTTTTGCGTAACAGTTACTAGGGCCATTGATTCTGGGATGATAAGTGATGTTGTACCTGCAGAATATAAAGTTTACTTTAGCAATGATGTGAACAAAGATCCAGCAAACTCTGAAAATGCATTGCGGAGGAACTGTAATGTCGATGTTCTATTACTAGCAATGCTTATCAGTTGTATGAAGCAAATCATCATCACTGAAGTTTTTAACGCGCTGTAATATCGGCCCAGGTACGTGCATTATTATGCTTTCTGTTATAATAGGCTTATAATAAAACAAAACAACTTTTTACATTACGCCATAATACCTCCATATAAGACATAAAACATGCAAATAATACATGGTAACAATATATAATATTATTTGTGTGTATAATACCTTCTTAAAACCGTTATTCTTTACATCAAAAAGAGACATAATTAGTTTGATATCAGCAGTGTAAACAAGAACATGTGTTATATGTATATAGTCTTTTGTGTTTTTCTCGCATTGGGGGCTGCATCAGAAGAACTGTTTCTGATCAAAACAATTCAGTTGCAAACAGGTCCATAAGCAATGGTACATCAGGTATTGAATTACGCTCATGACGTTCTAAGTGTTCGGCTGGAATTTCCCATTGACGTGAATAAATCCAATCTAGTGGAGTTTCCAATCTGTTATTTGGAATATTAATATCTGCCCCTCGGGCTATTAAGTATTGAAAAATTCCCGACTCCTCTCTCCAAACCGCGGCATGCAGTGCGGTTTGTCCGCGGTCATCACGAAGATTAATATCGGCGCCAATTTCCACTAAAACATTAACTATGTTCATCCTTCCCAGTCTGATGGCCATTGAAAGCGCGGTCAGTTTTTTGGGCCCTTGGTAATTGACGTTAGCATTAAACTTCACTAAGAGTTTTGCACATTTTACGTTGTCCTTAATCACAGAAAGTTGTAAAGGTGATTTTCCGCCAGAATCCGGAATATTTACATCTGCTCCTCGGGCTATTAAGTATTGAACAAGACCAGACTTCCTTCTCCAAACCGCTGCATGCAGTGCAGTTTGTCCGCGGTCATCACGAAGATTAATATCGGCGCCGTTTTCCACTAACAATTTAACTATGTTCATCCTTCCCCGTCTGATGGCCATTGAGAGCGCGGTCAATTTTGTGGGCCCTTGGTAATTGACGTCAGCATTAAATTTCAAAAAGAGTTTTGCACATTTTACGTAGTCCTTAATCACAGAAAGTTGTAAAGGTGATTTTCCGCCAGAATCCGGAATATTTACATCTGCCCCTCGGGCTATTAAGCAGTAAACAAGACCCGTATCCCCTCTCATAACCGCGGCATGCAGTGCAGTTTGTCCGCGGTCATCACGAAGATTAGTATCGACGCCATTTTCCACTAAAACATTAACTATGTTCATCCTTCCCAGTCTGATGGCCAATGTGAGTGCGGTCAGTTTTTTGGGCCCTTGGTAATTGACGTTAGCATTAAACTTCACAAAGAGTTTTGCAAATTTTACGTTGTCCTTAATCACAGAAAGTTGTAAAGGTGATCTTCCTTCAGGATCCGGAATATTTACATCTGCCCTTCGGGCTATTAAGTATTGAACAAGACCCGTATCCCCTCTCATAACCGCGGCATGCAGTGCAGTATTTCCATCGTCATCACGAAGATTAATATTGGCGCCATTTTCCACTAAAAGTTTAACAAAGTTCTTCCTTTCCAGTATGATGGCCATTGAGAGCGCGGTCAATTTTGTCGGCCCTTGGTAATTGACGTTAGCATTAAACTTCACAAAGAGTTTTGCACATTTTACGTTGTCCTTAATCACAGAAAGTTGTAAAGGTGATCTTCCGCCAGAATCCGGAATATTTACATCTGCACCTTTCTGCACCAAATGCATTGCTAATTCAGTATTGTTGGATAAAAGTGCGTAATGAAGTGGAGTGGAGCCGTTTGCATCGCGCATGTTCAGATTAGCACCTGCATCTATTAAGCAGTTCATGGCATCCAAGTTGTCATAAAGCACTGCGACATGTAAAGGTGGCGGTATGGTGCATTCACGACTAAAGAAATTGACATCAGCGCCCCTTTCAATTAAGTACTT